AATAGACTATTCAGATTTGCTCTTGGTTTTCCTTTTCGTACACATCACTGCACAATGTATAACCAACTTAAATGGCATTCATTAAATATAAGAAGACACGTATTGGCTTCAGCTGATATTTAAATGCATTTATCTGAACTATCCCCCTTATTTAAAGCAAAATGTTGTACCCTACTCGCCAAATCATCAAGTTAGACACTCTGTCCAGATTTATTTCTCTGTCCCCTCTGCAAAAAAATTGATTGGCAGAAGAGCGTTCATTTTCAAAGCCAACAGACTGGAATACTTTACCTGCTGCTATTAGATCTCTTGCATCATTGGGTATGTTTAAACATGCATTATCATCTCACTTTCAACTGGTCTGCACTTGTTATTGATGAAACTGATATTGATTAAACTGTCTCTCAAATTGTAATGATTGTATGTATTACTTGAATGTTACTTAACAGACTGTACGTGGTTTGTCTTGTGTGTCATGTTTTGTCTGTTTTGTTTATGTATGTCTGTAAGTTGTTGCTATTGTCGGGACCCCCTTGAAAAACGAGATGGTGCATCTCAAGGGGTTTATCCCAATAAATACATTTCTATATAGCCTAACTTGTTTTGCTGTCTCCTTTGTATTTCTTTTGATCAGTTTGCAGGGATAAGTTGGGTTTGGGTATTGTCTTTTCATGTAGGCTTCTATCTGTAATATTATGTTCCTTAACTGTTTGTTGTTGAATGTTTGAAGGTGGATATTTTTTCTGTGTTCTCATATCGAATGGCTAACTGTCCCGGGTTCTCCCACTTAGCTCAAAATATTATATCATGGCGCCCTCTGTCGATCACTTCGGGAAAACACGTAGAACTACCCGGAAGTAGTAGCCAGTGAACATGAGAAAAAGGAAATCAGGGGATTCTTGCTTTCAAAACAAAACAGCTTTTTTTAAACAGGCTAAATTGTTTTGCTGGATACTTGCACATTGGCGAAGGGTGGTCAAATTAACAAAGAAAGAAAGAAAGAAAGAAAGAAAGACTATGTTTATATGCATTGATTTTGTATGACCATGTATGATTTTGAGGATTATTTTTGATATTTAGTTTCCTGAAATTGTCTAATTGTCTTTTATTCTTTAGGATTTCTGCCGGAAGTCTCGTCACTGTTGTTGCTGCTGAATGAAAATGTTTTCGCCTCGTGTTTGACAGGTTGGTCTGATTCCAGTTTGGAAGTCTAACATAACTAACTGTTAAACTATTACAACTTTTAACGGCAGCTGCAACAGTTAAACCAGGGTTTTCATCATATAAGCACGTATTATAATGTGGCAGCGCTTTAATGTAAAAGCCATGTCCGTGGCTCACGTCTCAAGATTTAAAGTGGTAACAACGTATTAGCTCCTTAAAGCTAACGTTAGCCTGATACATTAACTTGTTTAGTTGATGATTGTCAAGCAATAACGTTACAGGTTTATTCAATTTGTTCACGCCAGCTAAGCTTACTTACGACTACTTGATTGACAGACAATATTTCTGTATAACACGTTACTCTCTTTCAAATGACTCTTCTTGCCAGAGTATGAAAGAATATGCCGTGTTAACAGTGTGTGTTTGTGTCTCTCTGTCTCCAGGTTGTTACACGTGAGCCTCTGAGTTTGGCCCCAGCTGTCATTCATATCTTCCAGTTGATATCTCTGTCTAGTGGGGTGCAGCCTATACATCCTCATACAGCATGTCCTCCCAGGAAGAAGGGGATGCAGAGCCGGGCTCTTGCACATCCGCCTCTTCCTCCTCTGAAAATGATGCCCCCATTGGGGACGTCATCACTGTCACCATTGGAGCAACAGTGCCTACAGGGTTTGAGCAGACTGCTGCAGAAGAAGTCAAGGAGAAAATTGGGGTTGATGCAATAATCAGCAAAGATCGTGGTCGCATATACTTTCCAATAGCGTCTGACAAGCTTTTCCAGGTAGGAAACCTGGAGACAATGCATGTCTTTTTTTGCTGTTAGAGCCCAGTGATGATGCCATATGTTAAACCCCTTTTAACATTTCCCAGGTGTAAATAGTGTACAGATAACCTCCATCTTAAATGAACATGTCTGTCTTTCCTTCATTGATTCCTTCTCTCCTGTAGGTCCATCTTTTGAAGTCTGTAGACAACCTGTTTGTTGTGGTTGAGGAATATCATGATTACCCCTTCAAAGAATCAAAGGTAACACACACAGCGTTATTCTCTTAGCCAATGCATGGACTATCGCCATGGGTACTAAACACTGTGTTCTGTGCAGGAGGAGACATTGCTGGAGCTGCAGGAGCTTGCCTCCAATCTCCCCTGGACTAATGCCTTACAGATTTGGAAACTAAATCGCACCTTCAAAAAGAAAAAAGGCTTCAGGAAAGGTGGAAATGGAACCAAAGTAAAACCTACTAGTAGTGAGGCCACAGATGTTGCATCTGTGGCCTCACTACTAGTAGGTTGTAGTGTGGCTGATGTTGAGCAGCAAGAACTACCTCCGGCAGGGTCCGCTACTGAAAGCCAGACGAAGGCAGAGGTCACTGCTAACACGGAGGACAGCACGCCGGACTCGGAGGAGGCAGAACCAAAGACCAAAGTGACCAAGTTCCGTGTGACGTGCAACAGGGCCGGTGTCATACACAGCTTTACCTCCAATGATGCAGCCAGAGACTTTGGTGGGGGCGTGCAAGAATTCTTCCAGTGGAAAGCAGACATGACAAAGTTTGACATAGAGGTAGGTGTGCCTGTTCAGGCTCTACTGGCTCAGTGAATAATATTACGCTGGCCAAAAAACTGCCTGTTCTGATGCATTTGCAAGGCATAGCATAATATTTAGTCTAAGGAGTAACAAAAGAACAAATAAGAATTCTGCTGAGTCACATTTTCCAAGAAGATAAGCCGTCCACATTATGTGACATGTTGAAAAATGCTTCATTGTATCCAATGACGAAACGGTGTGTCTTTTCTTTGAATTCATTTTAAAGGTCCCATGTCATGGCCATTTCTACTGATCATAATTCCATTGTTGAGGTATACTAAAATAGATTTATACTTTGCAATTTTCCAAACTCACATTGGTTTCTCATACAGCATCTCTGTATAGTATGTGTATTCACTCTCTGTCCTTAACGGCTTGTTGGAGCTCCTGCCCCCCCCTTCCTGTGAGCCCAGTGTGCTCTGATTGGTCGGGACGTTGCAAGGGTCGCTGCTCAGTGAGCTGGCTTACTGGTGTGGTTTCTGGCTCGGCGTTACGGCGATACAGCTCAAAACTCATCGTGAGCACACACACAAACACTCACAGCCGAAGTAAAAACAATAATTGGGCCCAACTCGTATAGTATGTGTATACCAACCAGGGAGCTCTATGCAAGTCATTGGGACTCCCCACTGCGTTTGATAGTGACGGTGTGTGAGGAGCTCCGCGGATTGGTCCATTTTGGTTCCCGGAACAAATGGAAAAAGAGGAATCTCAAACGAGGCGTTCTGGGGCAGCATAGCCAAGTATTTTCTGTGTTAGAGTTTTACTCGCTACAGGGTGTACTTTGAGGGTTTTTGACTCTGCAGACCGTTTACATGCGTAAAAACCTTCATAACACACAAGGGACGGGTAATAACCGGAAAAGCATGACATGGGACCTTTAATGAACTTCACACGTACTAAGAAACAATTCAATCATGTGAAAATTGGTTGTGATGAATTTTCTGACGATCGTTTCAGCTCTAAAGAACATAAAGATGTATTCATGGTAATTGATAATTGCTTTCTAATCATGCTCTGTATGTTCCTGCACTGTAGGTGTTACTGAACATACACAATGTAGAGGTGGTGATCGGCATCGCACTCACAGAAGAGAGTCTTCACAGGAGGAACATCAGCCACTTCGGACCCACTACACTGCGCTCTACCTTATGCTATGGCATGCTCAGGTATTTATTCAACTCTGTTTTCACGGCTTTGTTTGAACAAGGGATTTATTCGGATATGGTTGGGCTCCTGGATTTCTTTAAAGTTTGTATGTATATTATTGAAATAAGGAATAATTCTAAGTCTCTCGTTGATTCAACAACGGATTAGTCATTAAAAACACTGTCATGATGACACTTGCAATGAGGTGTACCTTGGACAGCTACCAAAGTGACTGATGTAGGAGGAAGAGAGGAAATACTGTCATGCTGCAACCTCATACCAACTGTAACAACAGATTGAATGTGTTTTTCCTACTCACTCACACAGATCGATACTTGAAGAAGAAGGTGCAAATAACCTAAATAAGTATTCCACAACTTGGTTAAATATAATCTTTCAGAGAGCTATGTCTTGTGCATGTACTAATGCAAAGCAAAGTTTAACACATGACAGAGAGAGTAAAATGATCGATACATTAAACTGATAACTTTGTAATGGCATATTTCCAAAAGGCGTTGCTCAGACTGTGGAACAATTCTTCCAGTTAAAAGTAGATAACACTGATATATCCAATAACATCTCCCATGCCAAAAACAACTCATCTCTGTTGAGATAAAAATGCAAGTCACACCTCAGGGTTTAGCAATATTTTCCATGAAGATAGTTTGACACATATATCTTTTTTTATAGCTTAGTTTGCCTAACACGCGGGGGTGGGGGTCTGTGCACCTTACAAACTGTATGCAAGTATAGTATATCTAAAGTCAGTTGAAAAAAATAATTGTTCTTTTATTTTCATTCATCATTTAGGACATAATAACTATAAGGGCACTTATAACGATCTGTTAATGTCAAGAAAAGTTTAAAAAAAACATGTAAATCTGCCTTGTATTTCCAGCAAGTGTATTTGCTCTGTAATTCCGCTGAAAGACTAACAGGGAAGTAATCAAAGGCAATTAAACCGGTACTTCGTGGAACCAAATTATTTAGTTTGGGAATTCCAAACGAGTACAAAGAGAGCACCTAAATATAAATCATGGCAATGCAGTGCTAACCACAGAACAATGAATGTGACTTGGATGAAATTCAAGTGGAGTAACTGATGAATTGAATTCTAATTTCATTTGAGATGATGATTCGTGTAATGTAGAATGACTGGGGCTCTGCTTGGAACTGCTCAGTAATTCAGCCATTTTTTTTACCAGTCATGTTTATTGTTCCAACACAAAACTGATGGTATAAGGCCTACGTGTGGTCATATCTGCATATCTTTTGTCACTAAGTGCTAAAATGAAATTAGGATTTAATAAAAACGAGCAGTGCATGCAGGATGGTGTCAGTCACGATAAGAACGTGGGGAAGAGAAACAGCACAATTGGTTAATGCTTTATATTGACATGTATATAATGAACCTGAATGATAATCATACTGTGTTATTTTCACACTTTTCTGTTGATAGGCTGTGTAGTCCTCAGGCGTCTGATATAATCCTGGATCCGATGTGCGGAACAGGAGCTATACCATTGGAGGTAAGTCATATCTTATGTACCTATACTACAATATAGCTTTGATGGAAAAACACGAAGATCAAGTGCAAAACATAAACACACACATTAAACCCTTTCCAATAACCTCATGATTTCTTAATATTCTACAGTACACAGCATCATTTTACTAGCTTCTTCCTCACCTCATTGCACTGCTCCACATATTGCTGCTGCTGTCTCCTGATGACATCAAACACATTTCACAAGCAAACTACAGACTTAAAACTTAAAGACAAAAAGTACTGTTTAAAATGGACTTGTGTTTTATGATTTTCATCACCAGGGGGCCATTGAATTCAACAAATCTTTCTACATTGCCGGTGACAACAATGACATGGCAGTTACCCGCACAGTCAATAATATATGTCACATCCAGAAACGGAGGGCAGCTAAGGGCAGGTGAGAGTGTGCGCATCTCGACATCTCACAAGTAGTAATAAGAACAGTTATGTGCATTTGGTGACCTCCGTACGGTTTTGATGATGCTTTTCCAATGTAATCCTTCAAAACAGTGCACCTGGAATGCCCATTGACACAGTGCAATGGGATCTGTGCAACTTACCCATGAGGACCGGCTCTGTTGACATCATCATCACCGACATGCCCTTTGGGAAGAGGTACCATAAACACGTGTGCAGTGCATGCTTGATTAAGTAGTATGTAGAAGTGTTGTTGAATGAGTGGATTTCTAGTATCAGGGTTAGAACATTTAAATATATAAATAGTTGTAGTCTTTTCCTAGTTTTAAAGGTTTCCTTACCTCTCCAGTGGCTTCAATGTCCCAGTCAAGTCTAATGTTGACCTCTTAATGTCACCTCTTCATTTTTGCTGGTTAAAAGATTTTTAAACAAAAAAATACTAAATATTGAATTTATCTTTCACACTATCTTATAAAGTATCTCCCTTGTTTTCTTGAAGAATGGGCTCTAGGAAGAAGAACTGGGACCTGTACCCCTCCTGTCTGAGAGAGATGGCCCGTGTGAGCACCCCGGGGACAGGAAAGGCTGCCTTGTTGACACAGGACAAGAAATGCTTTACCAAGGTAAGCAAAGGATCTCCAGATAAACCACAGGGCAAGTCTTGACCTGCCTCAGTCTTCCTGATAAGTAATCATATATTTCATCCTAACCGGAAAGTTTGCCGTAACCACTGATTCACACACCTACTTGATAGGGAAACAACTACAACTGCCTTTTCCCCTAACCTCTGATGTTTTGTTATCTGTGGATTGTAAACGTGTTCCTTGTACAGAAGGGCACAATGCACAATTATAAAAACACTTAAGAACAATTGTTAATTTTCATATCCACACGTGTACTGTAATATCAAAGGTTCTGCTTTGTCCTTGTCAGGGAGTTAGACCTAGTATAAAAACGCATGTATAGCTCAAATGTGACCTGCTCCATCGAAATCAGTCGCATTGACCCGAAGACACATTTTGAGTTGTATACACTGTTGGAAAGAGGAGACTCCTAGCTTTCTAATGATATCAGGATTGTTTTTGTACTCCAAATATTAAGCAAAATATGTCACATTATATAATGACTGTCACCGAGTCATCATTTTGAGAAAAAGGCCTTCAAAGTTTCCTCTTCTCTGGAATCCATCGATCTTATTGATTATTAGCGGAGCAAATGATCAAAGTAGTACGGAGGGAAAATATTTTCGTTTGGATTGCTGGTCTGGGGGAAGCTCACGAGTGTGTGTGTGTATGTGTGATTTAGCGTTATTGTGTTTGTTTATTGTGTTTGTGACTTTAAATTACTCCGTTCTCCGCTTGTAATTATGCCGTGACAAGCTACAAAGTTGTATTTATCATCTGAATTTGCCGAAACAAGTTTAATATTCTGAAAGCCAGGACTTTGTTTATTTGAAATCAAATTAAAACAAACTGTAACGGAACCTGCCGTGTTATCTATGATTACTATACGCCTTACATTCATAATTTCAGCCGGAGAGGGGGGGAGCGGCGCTGCGGAACAGCAGAGTGCGAGTGAGAGCTGTCATCTTCCCTTTACAAGCTTAAAAAATGTATTTATCGTGTTATTTTGGAAATAAAAGTTTCATATTCTGAAAGCCAAGACTTTGTTTGTTTGAAATCAAAAACAAAACACCCGAACCCCGAAAAACTATTTTTTAACGCAAATCCACGTTTATTTTGAAATGAGCCGTTGCGACTTCCGACTGATTTCGATAGAGCGGGTCACATATTAGCAAGGCATATTATCTATAAATTCAATGTGTGTTTTTTTTTTATATCTACTTATAAACTACTAGGACAGTGCAGTTCTTAACAAATAGCTTGGTTCCAGTCAATGACATTGCTGTTGACCTTTGTGGTAGGCTATACGGGCTTTCCCAGATGAATCAATGAAGTCAAATTGGGTTCTAATGACATGAAAACAGTGTTTAGTAATTATTTATTTGTTGTCCTGTCATACAATCAATTACTTATAATTATTTGTGTATTACAGTAGGTTTTATAAGACATGATTAATCCAACTTTAAACAATCTAAAATGGTCCTCTACTTAGAGGGTATGCATGCAGAATCCAATAAGCCCCCCATGAGTCATGGAAAAAGACTTTAAACAGCTGTATTCGTCTAAGTTGGATATCGTGTTTCACACAAAACAACTGTCTCATTTGTTAGTTTGCCCTAACAAGATGAATGTTGTCTCCAGGCTATCTCGAGGATGGGAGGACTGTGGAGGAGGCTGCACACTGTTTGGGTCAATGTCGGGGGTTTACATGCTGCCGTCTACCTCCTCAAGCGGACCCCGGGCGTGTTTGGCCAAACTCCGGAGGATGTCTATGAATCACGAGGAACGGTTAAAGCAGAGGGGGAAGAGAAGGGGGATAAGGAGCTCTCCTAATTCACATCCTGCCTTGAAGTTCTGAGTTTAAATTTGAGGCCATGTAGGTTCAGCATTATTTATAATTCCTTTATCGATTTTACATTTTTTGTTAATACAGGTTCTCTTGTTAGTCTTGCCAAAAAGTTTTTGCATATCATTTTTGTATTTCTCCTTTGGTTTGATGCGATAATAAGATCGCTGGAGAAAGAAAAGCTATTTTCATGTTCAGCAGCAGTTTAGTAGTCGCCAAACCTTTTGTTTGAGTGAAGCAGTTTATTTGTCATATTGCAGTTCAGAAAGCTGCTAAAAGTTGTTTCACTGCACGCCTCAGACCCGCTGTGTCAACTTTACAGGGACTGCACATTTTCATATTGGTCTGGTTAATAAAGATTCAAACAAAAAGTTGATACTTCAAGTCAATGTAAATATTCATCACATACTACAAGTGGTAAATCTGTGGTACATCTACAATTGTTTGTTTAGTAGAATGCAACCATGTACTTGTATATGTATCATATGTATTATTATTATTATGTATTTAAATCTTTAATATCTACCTGAAATTCAGCACGTCTCTACAATCAGGGTGACTTTCCTCTGTTTCTCCATATTTGATATGCCAACCTGAGCACACACTAGGTGATGAAACATGAGCTCATATTAAGTAGAAAAGGATAAAGCCCAGCTTGTATGACTCAGGTTTTTTTTACAGTAATAACTTACGGTGTGCGTGAATACTGGCATGCAGGATCACACTTCCTTAAGCTCTTCAATAAACGATTGCCAAACAAAAGGGATTTCCCCAAACAAGGGAACATAATTTAGGCAGATCTTGCCAAAATCCAGTAAAAAAAAAAAAGGAAATACAAATTTGATTTAGATTTAATTGCGGTTTGAACTACCGGCAACATGGATAATACATATTAACTTTTTAACTGTAGTTTGTGCACGAACATGCATAAAGTCTGGCAGAGTGCAGGTAATTCCCCATCCTATGCGGTTGATGCTATACCTTACTACAGAATAATGCTAACAACTTTTTTTTCCGGGTCCCTACCCATTCTAGCTAAATCCCTATAAATACAAACGAGTGTCTCAACTGCATGTAAACTAGCCTTAAGGATAATTAAATGATTATCGTTGTATTCCCTTGTATTAAATAAAGAAGTGTAATCATGATTACGTAAGCGAGCACATGCAACAGCGTGGGAAATTTAAAGATGCAGTGACAAAGATGATGACGGAGAGGACTGTGACGTAGTAGCTCTGGCTCATAATAAAGCCATGTGAGAGCAGACAGGACTCCATTGACTCAGAGCAGCGAGGAAGGTAAACACACGAGATGATCTGGACTATTTTTCTGATTTTCCAAGCTGTCCTGCTTTATTTCCTTCTCACACACAGATCGAGGTGAGTTATTGTTTTATTGACTTGTATTTTGCTTACTTCGTGCTCTAAACACGCTAATGAAAAATGCACCTGTTGACATTGAATCTTGCACGCCCTTGTCAAAAATATTCTCATATGTGTTTTTGTTAACTGGTGCAAATGTAAGACTAGTAAGTGTGGTGACATATTTGTCAAACGATTTTGTCTACCACCCGTGTATGCTATTTTTCTCGTGATGTACGCACACGCCAACATTTTTATTTTTTATTGGTTTGGCTTCTCCATTCAAAGGAATGCAGTTAAACTACTGCAGTGTTAAATATAAGTGTCCCTATTGTGCAGCTTTCCACTTCATCGAGGTTTCAATTTCCATTGAGGCAATGACAAATGACGAAAGAATAATTTGTCAAGTCAATTTTACCTATCCCTTTTATTGTTATATTAAGTGATCATGTCATAATAGGTGTGACGTAAAATAAGTGACACAAACTAATGTTGAGGCAGACAACAAAGTAGATGCATGTGTAAAATAACACATCTCTATGTTGGTTATTGTTCAGAGCTGCATGTCACGTTGTGTCTCTCCACCTTTTTAAACTATCAGTAAGATAAAGAAAGACAATCATCTTCAAAATAGCAAGTTGTTGAAAATACAATAAATCAATGTAACTTTATATTTGTATTTCATTTTCCCTTTAGATCCAAGAGCGATCCTCCTCTAGACAAAGGAATTATCCCCTGGTTAGGCCATGCACTTGAGTTTGGAAAAGATGCTTCCAAGTTCTTGGACCGAATGAAGCAGAAACATGGCGACATTTTCACAGTGAGTAGAAAAGACCAACAGAGATGATGATCTGATTCACCGATGCCCCCTCTGTAAATATGATATGAATACATATGATCCCCTAAAGATCTTAATACTTATAAAACAATTCAGCTTAAAAATGCTGCCTCTCCAAATGATACTGTAGATTAATGGTTAGACATTTAAGAATATGTTTATGTTCATGTAACAGCATGTTACGGATAACACCAAACGTTTACATCAGGATACCATGATGTCATGATTTTAAGTTATCCTGAAACAAAATACAGAGTTTTATATTTGAGTTGTACAAGCAAATACTTTTTCATTTATTTGAAAGATAAATGGAATACTGCCCTTCATGAGAAAACGAATTGGTTTGCTTCAAAACTTTAAGAAATAACATACATTACAACACTAATCACAACAAAAAGTGCTCGGAGAATTTTTAATGTTACAGAAATGCATGAAAAAAGAATTCTAGCTGCATTTTCTTCTTGCTTTTTAATTTTCTCCACTGATGATGTGCAGGTGCGTGCTGCTGGACGTTATGTGACGGTGCTGCTGGATCCTCACTCGTACGACGCGGTCATCAATGACTCAGACTCCCTGGACTTCACTCGCTATGCACAGGTGCTCATGGAGAGGATCTTCAACCTGCGGCTCCCTCATCATCAGCCGTCTAATGTTTCAGCCTTGATGAAAAAGTAAGTCCTCATTAGTATGAACTCCAAACTGAAAGCTTGTACTGTCTATTTTCATTTTCATTTCTTATATAAATAGAGAAGCGAAATTTTTTGTGGAAAAACTACCACTCGAATCTCATGAATAGCATCACTGTGGATATTTCTGAAAACTCCCTTACTATTTTGGGAAATCCATTTTTAGATCTTCTTGTTTCATTATTGCTCAGGCATCTACAGTATTGTATTGAGATACTGGCAGACATCAAAATAAAATCAAAGCAATCTTTATAATGTTAAGGTTTAAAAGATTGACCAATGGGCACACTGCTTTCTGGAAGCTCAGTCTGAGTGATAAGTTGTGTGTCCTGCCGACCCCTCCTTTCTTCGTTCATCATGTTAACAATTACCCAAATGTGCTAAAAATAAAACTCGGAGCATTTTCATTACCTCAGGGAAAATATTAAACCTAAGTCAACAATTAGCTAGGAAGTCAGGTCACCACATCAATTAGTGTGACAGGATTCACAGGATTAACCCTCAATGGAATGCCATTCAACATTTATTTACTTTGTCATCTCAACCTTTTTGTGTCCACAGGCACTTCATGGGAGTGAATTTGGCCGCACTGAACAGCACCATGAGCAGACACCTGCAGGCCTCGCTGAAAACTGAGATGCCTCAGAACCAGAAAGACTGGAAAGAGCAGGGACTATTCAACCTCTCCTACAGCCTACTTTTCAAGTAATTGTGCCCCTGTCTCGCCCACACACACTCTTGACTATGTTAAAAGAAGCATGTACGCCAAAATGTTCCACTAAACAGTTTACACAGCCGTCAGTCCTGCGGTTCTCTGCTTGTAAACACAGCAAGAAAAATGTAGGATGATTACCATGACACAAATGTTTGAGGTCACCTTTCCGGTTGAGTATTTTAGGAGACAGGATGTGAACATAAACGTAGCTGCCCTTCATGTTAAGAAGTATCCTTAGTAAACAAAGGAGAGAGTATCAGGAATGTAAAACACTATCAGGTAGTAATGTTACCCTTTGACACAGTGACATACACTCTGGGGAGAAGCTTCACCTTGTGTTGGCCAATGGAAACCTACCAGTTGAAAGGGGATCTCTTGTGTCAAATGAAATACCTGCGTGGGCTGGTTATCTTTCTGTCAAAGGCAAAACAATGTCTGCATTCATCCCCCATAGAGTACCACACGTTCTCACACTTTTGATGTGTCCTTTCTCTGCAGGGCGGGGTACCTGTCGCTGTTCGGAGGGGAACAGAACAACAACGGCACAGATCCCTCCAGCGTCTATGAGGAGTACAAGAAGTTTGATGGCCTCTTGACTAAAATGGCGAGAGGCACACTGAAGCCAGGTAGTGATGCTGAACTTACTGGGCCTACAGATAACCTTCGGGGTATCAGAAGCTTTAGTCAGGAAGGCTGCAGTGACAGAAGTCTGTTAGTTATGATGCACATCAAACTCCATGACTCAGGAGAAGACGTAACTTGTGTTTACGCTGTTAACATTTATCACTAACATGGATTGACACCATCGATAGATATAAGCTCATTTCTATTTTGCAGTTGTCATGGCAAGTTTCCCTCACTCAGTTGCTTACGTAATGTCTAGTAGCTTTGTTTTCATTTTTGAAGACTTTTACGATTCCCAATGTATCATCACAGACCTGATACAACTTGTACCAGCTGCTACACCTTATTCCCCCGAGCTCTTCGAAGAAAGGTCTTTCCTTGCGTGCTGTATCAATGTTTAGATTTGCTTTTGTTCTGTATCACACATAAAAGTTGGCCAATTACAATATCATTGCTCTCCAGTCGAACCTGTCCAACCTCGGTATCCGTACGATCTGTTTATATATCAGGCCTTTCATTCAGATTAGGCTCCACTGCTTATGTTTAGCCTGACTCACTCCCTCACTGACGCTGTGATGTTTATCTGTTTTCAGAGGAGAAGAGGGCAGCCCAGAGTGTGCGGCAAAGACTGTGCGGGCTCCTGGCTCCAGCAGGTCTGACTCAGGACTCGGGGGCCAGCCCCTGGCTCCACGCCTACAGGAGGCTCCTGCAGGAGGATGGGGCCGACGAGGAGACGCAGAGGAAAGCTGTGCTGATGCAGCTGTGGGCCACACAGGTGAGCAAGACGTTGAAAGACCTATTCAGAATGTGCAAAGCGAGAGTTTCAGTTGGTGATCACCTCTCGAGATTAGAGAGGCTGTCTGTCGGTTGAACTTGATGACACTCTCAGTCTCTGTGGTGGGAAAGTATCCAAGAACGTTTATTAAGAAGTACTGCACTTAAGTACAGGTTTGAGATACTTTACATGAGTTTTTCCATTATTCTGATACTTAATCGTTCTATTCCACGACATTTCAGAGGGAAATAATATACTTTTTACTTAGCTACTTTTAGATAACTGCCTTTGGATAGTTACTGCAGCTGGAAATGAGATCTTAAATACAATATGATAAGCTTTTGAAATACAACACATTTTAAAAGATTAAACCAATGGTTCCTGACTTTTTTAGCATGGCCTCTAACAAAAACTTCAGAGGTAAAATTATCTAATACTTCACAAATAACACAAAGTTAAGTATATTAGAAATGTGTATAATTAACATAATAATTAGTTCATTTTTTTTTCAACACCATGACTTATTTCATGCCTCCTCACATTCATTATTTATGTTGGATAATACTACCTAAACAGAACCAGCTACTCCATCAACAGTTAAAAATGATGTATTTGCCTCAGGATTCATAATCCTTTATTTAATTAGAGTTTTTAATACTTGAGTACTTTTATTTTCTGATTCTGGTATGAACTACTTCCTCGACCACTGTGCAGTACTCTTATCTAACACATGAGTGTGCTGTTCACTTCTGCTTTCACAGCAGTCTGCCTTTGCATCGGAAAGCCATGCAAGTTTTTAACAAATATAAGAGATGACTGTGATGGAGCACAGTGTTTTTACACCAAATTAACTGACATGGTAACTTGATTGATTCTCTCATTGATTACAGAACAAAGTAAAACATATTTCTCATTCAAAAAATGTAAATGTCAGAAATCTCTTCACTTGGTTTGTAGGATGTTTAAAGGTCAGCTAGTATGCACATACTTCCATCTCTTCCGATGTTAAAGGGACATTTTATTTCTACTATAACAAAACAAGCAGGCAATTGGTTGCATTGGTTTTAGTCTTGAATGGATTTGAACTGACCTTGACTTCTCACTCACATAAAACTGGACTTGCTATTGACTCACAGTGTTGCCCACAGCCTGCTGGAGAACTTTATTGCATCAAAGATATAAATAAGATGGCAACTTCAACATTTGCGTTCCCCTTCAGACTGCTTACTCATCCTCTTTATGTACCATTTGATTACAAGCTTTGAATCATGTCGTTAGGTTGTCTCTGAGTCACATTCTTAGTTTCCCACAAAACCTTTGAGAGAAGTTAACAAATATATTGCATGAAATACAGAGACCTTGTTGGACAGTTATTATGGTTATGACACACAATATTGTCATATCAGTCATATATGGTGTTATTAACACTGAAATATTGCTGTCAATAAGGAAACTTTCACACACACAGGTCTGTGATACATCTGCCAAATGTTTGGATAATGACAAATCTTTTAATGGATACCGAAGTTCTATGATCAGTTGTGTTTATGTATTTTACTACGCATTAACAGACCTAATCGTGTATTTGCAATGACTTAAGAGGCCATTTTGTGGTCATTTATACACAGTATTACATTAACATAATGTGAACTATTTGATGTGTCTTCTCTTGGCAGTCAGCGCCACAGTAAGCTGTAAAACTAAATAGCTTCAGAGCTTGTCCTGCCCTTGGATGCAGGCAGATGGCGGGGGACCTCCGGTTTCTAAGCGCTTTCCTTATTTAGTAAACCATTACCAGGCTGAGCTTTGTCAGAAGTGAAACTATCCAGAGCACGGATCCTCTCATACCTCACAGCTGAAAGGAAGCTGTTGCCTTTTTATCCAGTCAGCCGCCCCCAATAGTCATTATGCTTTGAAGTTTTTGTTGAACCAGACTTTTATTGAAATGTGTGCTTCATTACAACTCTAACAAACAATAGACATGAGCACTAGGGATGTGATGTTCTTATTTGCTATTAGCAAACAACCACCTGCGCTGTCACTATGCAACGCCAGAGTGAAACTAAAAACCCTATCATTGTCATCATGTGAGTCTTTGTTTGTTTTCAGGGCAATGTTGGTCCGGCTGCATTTTGGCTGTTGGGCTACTTATTGACAAACCCTGAAGCTCTGACAGCGGTGAAGAACGAGTTCAGCGCTATCTCAACGATGGAGACCTCAGAGACCTCATTACTGGACACACCTGTGAACACCCCTGTGTTTGGTGAGGGCTTAGTGTAAACAGAAAGAAAGACATTTGTTGGGAGTAGCTTGCTCCTTTTCGTCAGGTAGTCTGGAATCACATTTGAAAGATGAATGGATTTATACCGATGTATAGGGCAACACAAATAAGATAATATTGCAGCTAAGAAAAGTAGATTATGGTGAACAGAAAAAAGTCAAATGGATAAATAAAGCCTAATTCATAAGTAGAGAAATATTGCAAATAAAACCTCTGCTCTTTTGTTATTAACAACATTTCTTTCTGCCTCTTGCAGATAGCGCCTTAGAGGAAACCCTTAGACTCACTGCTGCCCCCTTCATCACCAGAGAGGTAGTGCAGGAAAAAACCCTCAACATGGCTGATGGCCAACAGTACCTGCTAAGGAAAGGAGACCGGGTGTGTTTGTTCCCCTTCAACAGCCCTCAGAAGGACCCAGAGATTCACCACGAGCCACAGGTTGGTTGTCCTATCTTGTTAAAGTAACATATTGCCTGTGTCCAACCTCCTCGCTCTATCCAAAGCTTACTGTGCTGCCAACAGGAATAGCAGTAATTGTCTTGACTAGTTGGAGGCAGAGCTAAGTGTAATTAGTGTAGTGGTTTATGTAAGGTGGAATCAATGCCTACATAACGCTGACCCTGCCCGGGGGGGGGGGGTTAAACCAGAGCTGTGAACCTTTTGAGGGATTAGCTAAGCACGGGAACAGAAACACAGCTAATAGGCGTGGGAAGGACATTGCAGGCTGCACTAACACTAATCATTGACACACTGTCCAGTAGAAATGAAACAAACCAGAAACTAGTACCTAGCTAAAACTACAGTATCTAGCTAACTCTGATCTAACTGAATACAATCTGCTCTTTCTAACCGGTTGCATCTCTAAATGTGTTTCCTTTCCAGAAATATAAGTACGATCGCTTCCTGAATAAAGATGGCTCCGTGAAGAGAGATTTTTATAAAGGCGGGAGAAGGCTAAAATATTACACCATGCCATGGGGCGCAGGGGCCAATGGCTGCGTGGGAAAGAAGTTTGCCATCAACACCATCAGACAGTGAGTGTCCTATAAGTCACCATGTTATTTTACGATCCATTAAGACCTCAAAATGTTTCTCATTGGATGAGTTTGTTACCATCAATGTCATATTGAAAGTCCTAATTTCATGTTTTACTCTTCAGGTTTGTTTACATGGTGTTGACGAACTACGATTTGGAGCTCTCTGATCCAAATTCTCAGATACCGGAGGTAAATGCCAGTCGTTATGGATTTGGGATGCTTCAACCAGAAAGAGACTTGCTTGTCCGATACAGACCTAGAAATACACACTAGGAATATAAAAGCAATCAAAACACGGATCTTTAAAGCACATTTCAACAAATTCACATTGTTTATATGTCAATATGCCCCTTTGTACTTTTGTATCTTTTATTTATATAATATAGTATATCATTATTTTGTTATTTATCAATAAATGTAAATAATGCATTGTGTACCATATTGTGTTGTCAAATTTCTATGAGTTTTTGGGTAAAATTATTGCTGAGTCCATCACAATCATACATGTTTGTGCTTTATCCCACATTACTATTTTCTGGTAAGACTATTAATAAGACGTTGAAATGTGTCTTCATAAGGTATGTTTTTAAGGAGCTGTGGGAAGTGTTGCTTGGGAGCAGTATGTTAAATAAAGACTACAAGCGTAATGTGGGACGGCCTGTACTGTAAACAGAGCCGGCCACACATCTGTCACACTTACACATGCTCTCTGTTTGCAGAGTGAGGCTTAGTGGAAACTTTAGATTGATATGTTGTTTGGAAAGCAACTGATTACTTAGCAGGAGCAGATCCACCGTGGACACAGATAGTAAGGTACTGTTGCAGAGGAACAACAAACAACATGCACTTACTCTGCTCAGAGATACAACACGTTGACCCTGGAAAACACAAACTTTACAAAGTTAGGGCTCGGACATTAACAAAATCAATCCCGTTAGGAAACACCACTTTCTTGGGCCTAAGTGTTGAATCATTCTGTAGGAACTAATGGCTACATTTTCCTCTGAGCCTGACTGTATGCCAGTCTGCGGAGACCGATTCTGCTGTTATTGAATTTCTCACCACTCACTTTCCAGTTTAGAAAGCATTAGCAGGTGACTGTCCAGGGAGGATAACTAAGATGTGCCTGGGAGGCCTGACAGTATGTCTGCCTCTAGGCTGAAAGTTTGATAATCCCTTATTCCCATAGGGATATAACGTGTGCTTAATGTCCTTACTTGGAAGTCACGTACACTGACTGTGTTAATACTGTAATTGGTTGTCTGTTATTGTCTAATCTTAATTTGATCGTGTCTTCTTATAATGTTTATTTTTATTATGTATATTATTTCAAACTATTTTATATGTTGCTTTCCCCCTACTATGGGAATAACAAAAACATGCTAAATCCTGGTGAATTACATCCCTCCTTATTTAATATAAGGATATGTTGTTTGTGCACTTCCCCTGTTAAAATAAAGAATCATAGCATAACTTAGAAACGTACAACTTTTTACATTTAACACTCCTTAGAAGGGTTTGTTTCAGTTGTGTCCAGGGTTCCTGTAACACTGTTAGCACTGCTGCACAGAAACAGCATACACAGTATAGCTCTCTGAGCAGAGGCTCGCTGGCTCTGTGAGGGTTAAACTCTCAGGCTGCAGCCGCTGGAGGAGCCGGAGTGAATCAGCCCCCTGAAGGATGCCGACCACAGTCACAGCCGCCGGCAGCACTCAGTCACAGCGGAGCGGCCAGAGTGCCCCCCGCTGCTCTCTGAACAGAACTTGTTGATTCGCCACAGTAGGGGGTGATCAGGGAGGATACGGAGACATTTGTGTAAAACAATTATATTTTTCAACATGTCGCCACGTAGCTCATGATGCCTCCACCAGCTCCCAGCAGAGCACCGGAGACCTGCGCGGACAATACAAGTTTTTACGGGTTTACTCTTGAAATGTTGCTGATATCCGTCCATGTGGTGATTCGGGATGAAAATGAGACACGTATGTATCTTATTCTTTTGTTGTGTTCATGTCAGATTTCATATACTATCGCGATTTATAGCCCACTTGGTTTCACTTTGTGCTCTCTCTCTATTTGGCGTAGCTGACCATCATTACAATATGCACTAATTTACCTGCCAGATCTCGTAGGTATAAATCACATTTCCCCAAAATACAGTGGTGTTGCATAACTCAGATATGAACGGAATAGTTATTATGGCATGTTTGCCTCAACCAATTTACGTTATAAATTTTTATAATTGTTTGTCCAACCTGGGTAAACTGCACCACTTGCAAGGATAGACATCAGACTGGATGCGTTACGGGCTTTAAATCAAAGCCCGTAACTGATCATAGTCTTAGTCTTAATATCCCTCCTCTCCTGAGAACAGTTCACGTGCTGTTCGCTCTCCCACCGGAGCTGAGGCGTTTCAGCACCGCGAGCAGCGACGGACCGGCAACGGGCTGCTGAGTGACGGACCGGCCTTTCAGCACCGGACAGCGCTCACGAGTGAAGTCCAGTTTATCATTGGCCCTGCTCTCCACCCTTGTCAGCAAGAACATCGGCTGTGTCTCTTAAAGCAGATTCAAATATCTATTAGGTTATCTGATGAGTGGATAAACAACCTGGCATTGCTACTGTAGGACACTGCCTGCTTTACTGTGCCTAAAATATTTATTTATTTTTATTTTATTACAGTCACAAGGAGAATTGAGGAGGGACCCTGATGCGGTCATCTACAGGACCATGTCTTCTTAAACTGCCGGACTCTATCCGACAGTCTTTTCAAGTGACCGAGGAACTTGAGTGAAGATGAACAAAGAGGGGTCTCACTCGCAGTCCTCGCTGCCGGATGCCATGGACATCATCCGCAGCAAGACCCTGGCCCGCCGGGTGAGACTCAACGTCGGGGGTCTCCTCCATGAAGTCCTGTGGAGGACACTGGACAGGCTGCCCCGCACGAGACTGGGCAAACTGAGAGACTGCAACACCCACGACGGCATGATGGAGATATGTGACGACTACAGCACGGAGAACAACGAGTACTTTTTCGACAGACACCCCGGTGCCTTCACCTCGATTCTGAACTTCTACCGCACCGGGAAGTTGCACATGATGGAGGAGATGTGCGCCCTGTCCTTCAGCCAAGAGCTGGACTTCTGGGGCATCGACGAGATCTACCTGGAGTCCTGCTGCCAGGCCAGGTACCACCAGAAAAAGGAGCAGATGAACGAAGAGCTGAAAAGAGAAGCGGAGAGCATGAGAGAAAGGGTCGGAGAGGAGTTTACGACCACATGCTGTTCCGAAACCAGGCAGAAGCTGTGGGACCTCATGGAGAAGCCCAGCTCATCATTCGCTGCTAAGGTAATGTGCAACACAGCCAGACAAGCAGGGCAGATACAGTGAAAGTAGTGGGTAACCTGAGAGAGGGCAACATTGGCATTCAACCAACAGGCCTATGTTACTTAACAGTTTAAACCAGGGTTTTCAGAACTGAAGGGAAGGTTGTTATGCTGAGTTTGGTGCTATATATAAAACAATAAAAGTTGTTTTAAGAAATTAGTTTAATATCTGGAGGCTTTTTGAAATAGCTTGATCTGATGTGCTGACCCAGTGCTTTTAATCCATCACTTTTGAGTACAGGAGGGAGAGCATAAGAATGATGTTGTTGTGCTCAGAGGGAAAGTTCAATGTAACATCCATAATATTAATTAGGTGTGAGAACAAAAGACTAGGCTGCTGTTTTTTCTGGCGAGTCAATTTCAACCCTTTTTTGTTGGTGATAAGATGACAGTCTTTTTTTGTCCCCCTTCATTGGTTTTAGTCAGATAATTGTTCATGAGCAGGGACCGTCTCTTGGGGTTATTATCGAATGCTTGTTTGTTTTGTCATTGGCAACACCAGAGGATGTGAAGAATGACACTTATTGTTAGTGTGTAATCCACATACCGACTGCAGGCAACTATACCACACAGAATATATATTTTTAGACCATCACATGACAACCCTACCCTCTCCTCCCTTCAGCAGTCACCCCCTATTGTCTTCATTAGCCACCCCTGCCTTATTTCCAGTCCAGCCTTCAATCATCCGGCTCATTAATAGACTCACTCCAGGGACAAGTGCGCTTCACCTCGCTGGATCAATGGATAATGTCATGCTAACAGCATTTTAAAGTGGACTGACTAAAATAAGTGATTAGGTCCAAATTCAATAAGAAATGTCAAATAATTGCATTTGGCCATTTCAACAACTATTTGGGGAATATTCACATTAAGAGATGTTGACCTTTGCAGTCACTCTATATTTACCAGAGAGAAGGAAAAAGGAAAGTTAAAAAAATGATGTGCTATGCTTCCAGTTAGCATGTCAATTTGTAAGCAGAGAAATGTGCAAATCATTACTTCAAACACCTCCTTGAACAGGGGCTCCTGCATAATTTACTCAGCTGATCCATTGGAAGGAACCTGCTCAATCTTTGACCTTGAAATGCCAAAGCTCTTTATTAATTTTCTACAGCAACAGCAGGTCTCTTGGTATTCATGCCAAGGAACTCTCTCTGTGTAATAATCGCTGATATGAAGGTCTTTTCTGCGTTGACTTGGTTCCGTTTTCCTCCAGCTAGAAACCTACTTCAGTTTGATACAATGGCTCTGCAATGTTCAGCCTGCCACAGACAGCCACTGCCCTTTGACGATTATAACTAAGTCATTTTAACTTTAGAGAGAAAAACTAAAGTCCCAACTATAGGAACGCCAAAGGGGTTTTGATATTTTTGGTCATTGTTTTTTATATAACAAGTCAGTCAATGTTTCAATTTTGATCAAAGTTTATTAATTTCGTTATAACTAGTGAAATAAAAAAACTCCAAATGAAAGTGACAGTGGGGTTATTTAAAGGTGTATTCTGGGTCCTTTCCAGTGTTTATTAATGACATAATGTGTTCTAATGCAGACTCATTTTGATGCAGATGACCCAATCTTGAAATGATGATATGACATTATATGATTAGATATTATATCATCTCTTATCTTGTTGGCTGCTTTTTTCTTTTTAATCACTAGTTTAGTAATACTCAGGTTTTTCCTAAATGCTTAAACTATAATCTGTGTTTGAATACCTTCTTTTATTTGGCTGTTCTCAGGCGTCCTTAAAAGGTTAGAGACTACATGAGCAAACATAAGTTTAGAATTTGAATATTAACTCGGCTCTGATGCTGTTCACCGAGCTTACAGGAAATGATGACCATATAATAATAACTTTTCTCATGTAACAATATTTATTTTGCAAATGTATACGGCTTACAACATATTCCATGGCACATCAATAATGCCTAATTGACTCTATTTTGCTTGTATGCAATATTTTGTAAACTTATTATTATACATCATTTTTTAAATAAATCACATCAAGCCAAATGTCCACCTTTCAAAGTGCCTCTAGGTTCCATAAATACATTGTTGTACAGTTCAGCTCATGCCTCTCCTTCCCTGAGGCTGCATCATTCAGCTCCAAATTCTTTACACAGTTCAACAGAGATATAGAATAACAATTGATGTTCTCCTCTCGTGGTCATAGAAGCGTGCAGACTCTCGCCCTCAGCAGAACACACAAGAGCTGCACGGTGTGTACAATTAAGGGTCCAAGACACTTTGGAGCGTTAGAAAGGATATGTATGTGTCTGTTGTTTGATAAATAGGGCCATTTCCTTGTGGTTTAGTTTTCCCACATGCCACAGAAAAACAAGTCAAATTGAGGTTCATTGGCCTTTAAATGCAGTCTTGTTCCTGATGCCTAATTGAAGAGTTGCATCGGTGAAATGGCTTGTTCCCAAACACATATTGCGCTTCATTTATTTTTCAGAGCTGAGAAGACATTTTAATTGCACATTAATAAGACTTGACTTGATGCCGGAGAGAGAAGGTGTGATCCTGAATGTCTCTAGCTCCAATCGTCACCTTAACTTCAACCTGCACAAAAAGCAAACACAAGCACCTGCACTTGCTCTCTGGGAGAAGCTATTCCTCATGTCACGGAAGCGGTGAAGGACACTATGTGTGCGGCGCTTGATGGTCTGTCGTTCTGCCTGGGAGTGTTGAGGTGTCACTGAATAGTTTTATACCCACATGAGTCTGCATTTCTACCATCGGTCTGCCCACCAAATTATTCAGCAGCATAATATGGACTCCTGGAAACTGAGGGGGGGGTGCAGGTAATAATTCATCCATAAAAGATAAGCTCGTGTTGATACAGAACAGTGTGTGCTGAATGCAGCTGTCGTCATTTTCAGTGTGCGGCCCAGTGGGAGGAAAGGGTAAGTGGGCTGTGAGTGAAACCAGTATATGTAATACAACATGTCTAAGCATGCCTCCGTTGCTCAATGTCCCTGAGGTGCAGCTCACCATAGAGAGCATAGTCAGCGTATAAATCACACTTCCAGATGTTTAGCATTAGCACGGACATTGCTGGAAACTCTAAAACGGGCTTTCTATAAACATCCTGAAAACGGTTCATCAATCAGCTCATACCACAGCGAGAAGGAAGCGATCAGGATTTAGCTTAATTTAACACTCAACAAATATACACACACACACTTGCGCATACACACACCTACACAAAGTACTCATCATTTCATTAATAATCTGTTCCAGGCATTGGATGGGTTGAAGGTTGTTGTGAAACATTGAAAACACAAAGTACTGCTCTGCATATTTTAAAGTCAACACCAAAGCTCATGAATATACATCCTTTGCAAGTTGACTGACCATGCTGATAAGTAAGAGACACAAAAGGAGCATGTTCTGACTGTAAAGTTACTTAAGTTTGACAGAATTTCACTTACAGACTTTTTGACACTTCTACACTGGGAATTCAAATTCCTGTCTCCCTGAACCTTGCAGCGTTTTCTACCCCGCTGAAGCTTTGGGCCAGATAGGATACTGAGCTATAAAAACTGACACTCTGTTCTTTTTGGCAGAGGCTGTTTGAACTAATTGCATGGAAACTTTTCCTCTAAGCGAGTCAGAGACTGCCGTGACTTGAGGCTGCTAACTGCACTTCTTACCGCACATCAGATATGCCCGATTGACTTCACTGTAAGCACTTTGTTGTTTGTGGAGATGGCTCACACTGGCAATGGCTCTGTGTGTGCTTAGTTACCTGCTGAACGATAAACCCCATGCGGCATGGCAGGGGCGATTCTCTCGTATGAATAGGAGGAAATCGATGGCAAACTCAGTCAGAACTATTCTGGGATTGAGGGCGCACACTGCCCAGTCATTAGACGTGTGAGAGTGCTGAGAGCTGTGCGTGAGGGCTAGGAGCGGTCAGTCAAGCTAACCTCCAGTGCTGTGTCACCAGGAGTGCAGGGGACCAAAGGAGATGCAGCAATACAGTCAAGACGATTTGATCTCCTCTGCTGTTATTTTTAACTGTGGCTTCAAACACTGGGGATGAGAGTTTCCTCTGTCTCTCCTTCCCTCCCCACCTTTCTCTTACTGTCAGCGTCTGTGTCTGTATGTACTGCTAATAGCCCTGCTACATCCAACACAGTGTATATTATGACATGTTATAAGGGCTGATGCTGGTTGACAACAACTCTTCCGTTGTGCTTAGGTGAGTTGTGAAAAACAATAAATCAATGTCTCCCAGTTTCCCAGCAGCAAGACGGATAGCAGTAACATAATATATCATTAAGTGAGCATACACAGAGTCACGTTGACTGTACTGTACATTACGTAGGCAAGCAAAGTATCTCTGTCTCTGCCTTGGTCTCCTATCATCTTGTATCCAGGCTACTGGTTTCCCTCCTGTCATTATTCAAGTCCCACTAACCATATCAGCAGCTGTCATTATCCTTTTCTAACGGTAGAAAGAAGTCTCTATATGTGTTGGTTTTATTCATCTAAATGTACAGAGATAGCCATCTTCTTACTCACTTCATCTTACTTCACTTTTTATTGTTGACTAAGACTGACAAGTTCCTCTTCATACATTGATGCATCAAAACTGTATATAAAGTAGCTATATTCATGGAATAAATAGATTCGTACTTGGTTTAATCGACACCAATTACTGAAAGACCGTCTTAATGACACAACTTTTCAAGTTCTAGCATGCCGTGATTTATTTTTAGCTTGTTCTTCTTTTTGGAGCTGAATATCTGACCTCGTGCAATCAGAACCACACAGACTCTGTTCTAACCGGAGAGAGACATCAGCATCATTGATTTATTACATGCCTTTGATGTCGTTTGATCGGCTTGTGGAAACACATGAATAGAAATGTATCTAAGGATGTAAAACGTTCACCAGAGTGGCTGCTAATCGATCAAATAAATCTGCCAAACTGCAGAGAGGAGGATTAAATTGTTTGTGTGGTGGCGAGAGAGCGATCCACATGCACTC